AATATCTTTGATAAACACAAACCATAATCAGCCTAACCATCCAGAGGACATAATGGTAACAAAACCCCCTTTTTTAATAGTAACAAAGAAGATTAAATCCTCAGAAATAAACTTGACAGAAATGTGCAAAACATTTCTGTCTTACACATTCCTCTTACACAGAAATGTGTAAGAGGAAAATTTTAAAACATTATTGTATTTCAAGACACAAAATTAGACTTGAACAAAAGGAAAGGCATGCCCTATTCTTGGATAGGACGACTCAACATCATAAAGATGTCAATTTAACACAACCCCAATAAAAATATCAACAAGCTTTTTTATGGAGCTAGGCAAGTTGATGCTAAAGTTCATAAGGAGAAACAAAAATGAAGGAATAACCATGAACACACAAAGAAATTAAAACTGCAAGGACAGACTAGTTCTACCAGACATTAAACCATTCTATTAAGTCTCCATAAAACAGGGTGCTGCTGTCACAAGAATTTATGTATAGACAATAGAATAGAAATCACCAAAATAGATCAAAACACATATGGAAATGATAAAGTGCATCTTAAGTCATAGAAGCAAAGCTGGGCTTTTTAGAAAATGTTGCTGGCACAACTAGGCAGCCACTTAGAAAAAAATAAAATTAGATCCATACCTCACACCATACACAAGCATAAACCACACTGATCAGGAAACTAAATATGAAAAAGAAAAACATAAAATACCTTAAATAATAGAAGTACTAGAAAAATAATATGGGTGAATTCCTCTATAATCTCAGTGTAGGGAAAAGTTCTATAACACTGACTCAAAATTCACAGTCAATAAAACAAATGTTTGATAACTTTGTCTATGTAATTTTTACAAATCTGCACAGTAAAATAAAATCAATGAAGAACTGCCAAATTAAAAGGAAACATTTGCAACATATATCACAAATAAAGTGCTAATATATGAAGAACTCAGAATTTGAGGGGAAAAGATCTAAAACTCTGATGAAAAAATGAGAAAGATGTGAACACACAATTTACAACATGGGTACAAAATGATCTTAAACATATGAAAAGATGTTGAATCTCATTCAAAATTTAAGAAAGTCAAATTATCCTTGAAAACTATTTCTCACCTAATTGGCTAAAGTTAAAAAGTCTGAGAGCACATTCTTTTGGAGGGGGTGAGGACACTCGCATACACTGAGACAGGAATATAAACTGCTACAATCCCTTTGGAAGGGAATTTGACAATATCTAACAACACTACATTTATTTTTGTTCTGCATTTATTTTTTGATCCAGCAATCCAATTCTAGGAATTCACCTTGAACAGACACTACTAACAAAATGAAAATACATAGATACATATATAGTGGTATTGTTTACAATTCCATATATTGGAATCAACCTAAGTGTTGGAAAAAAAATAGGAGATATGTGGAATAAACTATATCTTACTTATACAGTTGAGTACTGTAGAGCAATAAAAAAATCATCAGGAATTTTTCTATGAGCTGACATGGAGTGAATTCCAGGATATATTATTAGTAAAGAAAGCAAAGTAGGCCGGGCTCGGTGGCTCACGCCTGCAATCCTAGCACTCTGGGAGGCCGAGGCGGGCAGATTGCTCGAGGTCAGGAGTTCCAAACCAGCCTGAGCAACAGCGAGACCCGGTCTCCACTATAAATAGAAATTAATTGGCCAACTAATACATATAGAAAAAATTAGCCGGGCATGGTGGCACATGCCTGTAGTCCCAGCTACTCGGGAGGCTGAGGCAGCAGGATTGCTCCAGCCCAGGAGTTTGAGGTTGCTGTGAGCTAGGCTGAACCCACGGCACTCACTCTAGCCTGGGCAACAAAGCAAGACTCTGTCTCAAAAAAATAAAAATAAAAATAAAAGAAAGCAAAGTATAAAAGAATACTACCTTTCACATAAGAAGGGCAAATAAGAAAATATACAGGTTATCTTTTTATTTTGCAAAAGAAACATAAGAAGTAGAAACCAGTGAGACAAGTTTCCTATAGAGGGTGAGAGAACACAGTGGAAAGGATGAGGAAAACAGGGGTGGGAATGGTGGGGAAAGTGACAGTTCTGAGTGTGCATTTTTTTTTTACAATCCCCTTTTGTTATAATAATAATTAAAAGCCACAAATGTCAGACTCAATTAATTTTTAAAAATTATGAAATTATTACCTGGCTTCATGTCTGCTATTTCTTGGTTTTCAGATTTCTGAATACATAATTCATTTTTTTTTAATTCGACTAGTTTTCTGAGAATCTACCATGGACAGAGTTCTATGGTAGCTATAATGAAGACTTTTAAATAGGTTAAGATACTATAATTACCCCCAAGAATTGTGTTCTCTAAAGAATGTCTTACATAGAAAAGAAAACAAACTAAAATATTATAGACATACAAAAACTTGGAAGAAAAGCAAAAACAGGCAAATAGCAAAATAAAATCAGAAATTTCATATGAAGACAGTTTACTATGTACCCCTTAATTTCATTCCAATTCTTCTATTGTTTTGTGCATACTTGCTTCTAAAACTTACATAAGACAAGTCAAAATTAAAAAATAGACATACTAGAATAATTAAATTAATGTTAAGGAATGTAAGTCAAGTAAAGAAGTGGAGAGAGAGAATTGCATGTGGGAAGAATTAGACAAATAAAAACTACAATTTAGGGGGAAAAAAACTTACTTGTGAACTACCAGAAGAGGGGACAAAAAGGAAATACACTGACAAGTCACAGAGCCCTTGTTATCTAATAAAAGAAAGCAGACTACCTTATCAACTTGAATGTGTTGCCAGACCCCAAAGCCCCTCAAGAACCTCCTATGACTTGCTATGATATAAGAAGCCATAAATGTCTTCACAGTGTAAGCCTTTGATACCAAGGTTCTCTGTTACTTGCAGCTAAAAGCATTTCTAACTGTGAATCAGATGTAATTGTTTCAGACACCTTAACAATATAATCGTATTAACCTGAGTAATTCTATCAGTTTGATTTTCAGAGGGGGAAAAAAACTTGAAAATGAATAATGTACAGGCAAAAGCAAAACAAAACACAAATAAGTAAAATAAGGCAAACAAACAAACATCCCCTGTATTTATAAAAACTGGGTACCTTGATTCAGTGGATTTCACACGTGAAGGAAAAAAAGACAACATGACTGGGGGCTGGATCCAAAAGATCCAAAAGACTCTACGTTTCTAGTTGACAATGGACAGATGAGATTGGGGGTCAAATAAAGTCCAGCCATCTGTTTAAAAATTGGCTAAAACGTAAGTCACATATCCAGGACCAGAGCAAAAGAGGAAGAAAAGCAGATGTTTGATGAAGTTATAAGAGAAAACATGCAACTCTCTGGATCAGATTTTACATGTAATAAAAGGTCATGAAAATGAAATTATTTTTATTATCTTTAATAATATCCTGCTTTACTCTCATAATTCTAGGGAATTTCATTCCGGGAAATGAGATATTTATTTTTTATGTTGTTAGAATCCTGGCTTTTACTTTTATATTTGATCATTTAAGTTCTTAATCCAAATATGCTAGAAAATAACAAAATATCTGATGATGGTTTTAAACTTATGAAAAATGGTTAAAATGAAACTAAGCAGAAGGTTGCTGGGTCTTATTTTTAATTATGTGCACTTTTAGATTTTTTTTAAAAATACTAATATATACCTAGAACTACTTGTTCCATGCTTTATAAGAGAAAGTCCAAACCTAATAAAATTCATAAATTCAAATAGAGGTATGAATGGAAAATAACAGTGCATAAAAATGACGCGATATTATCATGGCTGTGTTAATACAGAGATTTTTATTTTAAACGAATAGAAATTAAGGAAACTTTTTACCAAAATCTAAGGCAACAATGTTTTATCCAGCAGTTCACATGGCTGAGTATTTCTGATATGGAGACAGAGGACAGGCATCTCGGCAGGCCTCACATGGGCCAAGCAAAGCAGAAAAAGCTACTAAGGCTGCCAGTGCTAGTATCAAAATATGCTGGCCTCATTCTTGCTTGAAAAAATACAGCAAAGTTTACAGGGCACCCGGAAACTAGTTCTCCTTTCATGGCAGCACAGACATGAGCCACTGAAAACCCTGATCGGCCCTCTAATCCAATCATTCTCCTAGGCAAAGTTGTCACTCAACAGCCTGTTTCTCTCAAGAACTGTGAAGACATGAGTTCTTATTCTGTCTCACATCCTTGATTCTTCAGTTCTTTTTACACAGCTAGTAGGCAATGCAACTCTAGGAATTTTAATATTTCTTTCCTTCACGGTCACATCTTTACTCCTACCATCCAATTCCAGGCAGTCAACTGTTTTTCTCCCCTCTTGGCATTTACCTGATTCTTGACCTTGTAAATAACGTTACACTGTAAAATAGAGCTTCTGCCAACCTGTAACACAACCACTCGGGAAGTTTTTGCACACATAATCCAGTTTACAACGATAGAGTGAGCAGACATGGATATGTCAAAAAGGCAATTGCACGTCTTAACACTCAATGTCTTTCTACATTCATTTTATAGTCACTTCCAAATTATCTAATTTTGACCTCTGATTTGAAACATCCAGTGAGGTATTCTGATACTTTGAAGAAATAGGAAGACTACAGAGAACTTGGCAGCAGTTCTCTGCCCTTACAGTGACAATCTCATCGCTGTGTGAACACAAGGGCTGCCTCATTGCCTTACAAGGAAGCTCATTCCATTTTGCAAACCCATTTTTCAGAAACCATGTTCTTAAAAGGCCAAACACTGCTTCTCTGTAACTTCAATGTGTTGATTCTAATGCATACATTCAACCAGCATGTATAGCGCAACTACTCTAGGTAGTAGACAGTATTTCCATTAATGACAAAACACATTGGCCCCTTATTCATCTGGAGGGTCAAACCTGCAAACAAGAATAAAAACACAGCACCAATTGCATTTCCTTTTCCACTGTTTCTCTTCCTTTATTTCCCCGTCTCAGTATTCTTTACCTGAATCACACCTGCCAAGAAGGAGACTGCTGCAGCAACACCGATCCTTTGCATCTCGAAGTCAGATAAGCCCAGCACGCTTGCGTTACCCTCCGTGGAGAGGTTCTGGGCGCTCTGAGGGACAAGCCGTTCCACGGCGTTGGCCGATATTAAGGATGTCAAGGCAAAGGTGCCTGAAAGGAGGAATGAGGTGAATCTTCTGTTAGCAACTCAGTTAAAATACTTAATAAAAATTGTGGGACTCCACCATTAAAGTTGAAAACCACATTGTAAAACCAAACAGACCTATTAGAAACGCTCTCCTCTGTACCCTCGACTTCTCCACTCTTTACCCCACTCCCTGGAAGAAACTGAAACTTACCTCTATATATGAATATTCATTAAACATCAAACCATACCCATCTACTTGCTATTCCCTCCTGGGTCATACATTTCCCTATAGCTCTGCAGACTGGCACAGAGAATGTCCCAGGAGAAGGAATTAAGGTTATGGCCTGGACTTGAATCCAATCCTGTGACCTAAAGTACATTACTGTGGGTCTGAGTTGGCTCATCCATAAAATGGGGGTAATAATACCTATGTTTCAGTGTTTAGAGGAAATACAAATGAGATGATGACTAGGAGCTCAGTGAGCTCAGTGGTTAAATGTAAGTTCTTTGCCTGGAATGCTGGCTCCTCTGATTCACCTGGGCAAACCCTACTTGTCTTACAAGGTCTGGCTCAATTCCCACGTCTGACAAGGATCCATCCCAGATCCTCTTGACCAGCTTAATTTTTCTACCTTCTGTGATCTCATAGCAGAGTGTACCTTTCTAATTTATAACAACATGCCATGGCCCATAAAGTGACCAAACATAATGTTTCTGCCAACTGTTGTTAGATAAGGATCAGTGACATTTCCCAAAAAGGTCATGGCCTCGCACATATGCAGGACAATTTTCAGTGTGTTCTTGTCTTCCTGCCAAGAGTTCTGAAGGCTCCCATCCTGGCACAGCGTGCTTAAGAATGCAGCCATGTGGACATGGCAATGCTGATGCTCACAGAGAGGGCTCAGCAAATTTGGGTTACAGAAACAAACTGAAGCATCGTGCAAATATTCCCCCTGACTCATTACTTAAAGATCTTACTTTGCTTCAGGTCATAAATGAGACTTTGTGAAAAGGACCTGTGCAAAATGTAGACATCCCAACACAAAGCATGCAGCAGCCTAGGGCAAGAGAAACATAAGTCAAACAGAAAAAGATCTCAATGGAAACTCAACACAGACAACACAGATAAGAGAGGCAGTATGTGCTCTGAATTTGGACCCAAATGGTGGTTGTAGCCTTCAGCAAACCTGGCCTCAAATCCCAGAACTGCCACCTCAATCTTTTTATCTATAAAAAGATAGCATTTCTCACCCAATGGGGTTGTCATGAGGCTAAAATGAGATAATGTAATATAGCACATAGCACAGTAGATAGAATGTAGTTAGCACATGATAAATGGTAGCTATTTGTATAATTCTTAGCAAGACTAAGGTCAGAATGCTCTGTTGTGGTCTGTTATTCTATGCCCTTCTCTGTTCCATTGAGTCAGCAATACATAAATACATAGAGCAAACTGAATAACATTTTCTTAGTGAGCTAAGTAATTCTCAATAAATCATCAATAAATATGAATCATCCTAAAGTACTACATTAAGAATACATCAAGGAACTAATATATTTGATAGTTAGAAACTATTCTGGCAATACCAAGTAAGGAACATTCCATAGAATCTGGTTTTGATAAGACGTATTTCTCAGAGTATGTTACAATAGGATACTCCTAAGATCAAATCTTACTTCTGACAATAAAGGAGTGTGTCTTTTGGTCTTCAAATCCTACAGCACAGAGCAAAGTGTTTTGTACAAAAGCCTCTGAACAAATGACTACAGACTTAAAACAAAGATCTAAATGAATTAATTTTTTATTTTAGGCCTGTCTTTCCTGGGATTTGTTGGAAGACAGGAGGGAATTGAATGGAAGGAGAGAAAGGGCCATCTAAAAGGGGGAAGGAAAGTGAGCCTCACCTATGTGTGAGTCATAGCTCAAGAACATTTCCAAAGACAGACCTTGCCAGCAGTGGATATGGGCATACCCACCACGCCAAGGTGGATATGGGAGCATGGGCTCCTTAGCAACAATGCCACTTTGCAGTTTCTGAAGCAGTGGAGGACAGGCAAGGGCACTGCGGCTGCCGGTGGGCGTGGGAGGATGCTGTGGATGACATTGTACCTTCTCTGTCTTGTAGGTCTCACCTTGTCTTTTCCCCCTCCCTACTACTTCTCTACTCATGCCCTCATTCTCTCAACTTCTTATTCTGGTTATGCTTTAAGCCTACTGCTGTTACCTCTGAAATACCACTACACCCATCTGGTAGCTCAACAGCACCGTGGGTCACAGGTCTCATAGAAAGTGAATATGGGCCCCAGAATTAGGCAGACCCAAGTTCAAATCCCAGTTCTGCTTAATATAAGCCTGTGATCTTGAAACTCTCTAAACTTCCTTATTTGTAAGGTGATGATAAAATATCCAGTTACAACATTTGGGTATAGAATAAATGAGATTTCATATACAAAAAAACCCCTCACAAACACAAGTCCTACCATATTGTCTGTCTTTAATAAATGTTTGTTTATTTTCTTTTCTTCTGAAGAGTACCCTATACAGTCTCCCTAATATTTTCTCTAAATTGCTGAACAAACTTCGCTTTTTAAAAATTTCTCTACTTTAAAAGATAAGTATATCCTACGAATTGTCACACACTGGTTACCTTTGACAATTCTGTCTCCATTGGATTAATATCCAGGTTTCTGTCCTTTTCCTTTTGATTCTAAGACATGTTCTGTGCAAGTCACAGAAAGTAATCTACTGACTTATTCTTTTTTTGAAAAAATATATTTTGAATTAAAATAAGAAAATACACATTGTTGAACAAAATAGCCTATTCTGTGTCTTTGTACTCTGGGCTTATGGATTATTTACTTTTACTGGTGCCTATAACATAATTTAACGCTGCGTTCAGCAAGTTAGTAATGCATTTTGACCCACCTAAGTTGGAGGTAAAACCCCAGATAAAGTGATTTTTCTTCATGAAAATAACATTGATCTCTTAATAATAAAATAGAAGTGGGAATGCCTCTACACAATATATATACCAAAATAAAATGATTTAAAAGAGAAATATGTTCTGTATATTAATGGCTTACAGGAACTTTTTGTTGAGATTCAATTGGATCCTATGTTCAAGATCATAGGAAAGTCAAAAAAATAATTAGCTTATATTATATGTTTCTGCTGACATGTAGATAGATAGATAGATATAGTAACATGAGGAAAAAGGATCATTTTTTTAGTGATTCTAATGAATTCTAATTGTTGAAATAAAAAATAAATAAGGTCCAGCTGTCTCTGTCCCTTGATATACAAATGAAGAAATAAAAATGCTTTTACCATTTATCATGTGACTATATTACTATAGTTAAGACTCTAAGTTATACGTATTTTGAAATCATTTATTATTTACCAAGTAGACTACAAGGTTCCTATAGCTGTTAATAATTTGTTAAATACAGAGTCTTATATAAATGGTAATTTCAAAATCATGAAACCAGTAAAATATTTATTGTTATCCTTAGGACATCAAATGTTTCATATAAGTGTGCATTGTGGTATGTGTATCAAATTGTGTATTTTTGATTTCTTAGAGTAATTAGGGTCTATAGGGCAGACTTGATTTGCCTTTTTTAAATCTAGTGTTTAACAAGGAAATGCTTTTGTGGTCAGCACTAAAACAATCTGCTTTTTCTTGCTAAGAACATATTTAAATGTTTTAAAAAATGAAAATAAATTGTTAGGAAATTAGGGAGCAAGATAATTTAAAAATAATAGGCTCGGCCCGGCGTGGTGGCTCGTGCCTGTAATCCTAGCACTTTAGGAGGCCAAGGTGGGAAGATCGCTCTAGGTCAGGAGTTCGAGACCAGCCTGAGCAAGAATAACCCCGTCTCTACTAAAAAATAGAAATAAATTAGCTGGGAAACTAAAAAAAATATAGGAAAAATTAGTTGGGCTTGGCACCGCATGCCTGTAGTCCTAGCTACTTGAGAGGCTGAGGCAGAAGGATCGCTTGAGCCCAGGAGTTAGAGGTTGCTGTGAGCTAGGCTGACGCCACGGCACTCACTCTAGCCTGGGCAACAGAGTGAGACTCTGTCTCCAAAAAAAAAAATAGGCTTTAAGAACTGCTAATTCATTATTGGGCTCTTCCCCTTTTGCATCAGTACAAAATAAAAGCTCATTTTTGAACAGCCAGTTGTAAAGAAGAAAAGCTTGAGCTTTACATTTGGCCACTGAGTTGTAATCCATGCACCATGACATTAACCTGTGAGATCACGGAAACCTGAATTTTCGGGGGTTTTTTCCCACGTAAAATGTATGGATAATAATGACTATTTAAAAGGGTTGTATTCGTATAAAATAAAATATGTAAAGTTCTTTATAAGGCACCTAATCAGTAGTACATCCATGGTTCTCAAACTTTTATGTACATACACATATACGCATAAACATAGAAATACATATATAATATATGAATAACTATAATATATAACAAATATAACACATATATAAATAAAACCTGGAGATCTTGTAAAAAAGTTGATTCTGATTCAGTAGATCTGGGTTGGAAACCAAGATTTTTTTCACTTCTAACAACTTTCCAAGTAGCACTGACCCTGCTGGTTCACGAGCCACTGTTTAGGCGGCAATGTTATAAATGACGGATAACTGGTGATCCTTCCGTGATGACACGCTTAACTGATTTAAAAAGCCAAAAGTGCATAAATAAAACGTTATTTTATGAGAAAATGTATGTACCCATGCAATAGGCAGAATTATGACCTCTGAAATATGTCCACGTCTTAATCCCCAGAACCTATAAATATGTTAAGCTATATGGCAAGAGGGAATTAACATTGCAGATGAAATTAATGTTGCTAATCGGCTGACCTTAAAATAGGAGCCCATCCTGGCTTATCCAGGTGTGTCTAATGTAATCACAAGGGTCCTTTAAAAATGAAAAGTGGAGGCAAATGATCAGAGTCAGAGAGAGATTTGAAGATGCTACACTGCTGGCTTTCAAGATGTTGAAAGGGCCATGAGCTAAGGAATGCAGGAAGCCTCTAGTTTAACAAGCGCCTTCAAACTACGGCCCTCGGGCCACATGCGGGTGTTTTTGCCCATTTTTTTTTTTACTTCAAAATAAGATATGTGCAGTGCGCATAGGAATTTGTTCATAGTTTTTTTTTAAAAACTATAGTCTGGTCCTCCAATGGTCTGAGGGACAGTGAACTGGCCCCCTGTTTAAAAAGTTTGAGGACTCCTACGCTAGGTAAGTCAAGAAAAGGAATCCTCCCCTAGAGCCTCCAAAAAAGGAAAACATGCTTACGGATACCTCCAATTTAACCCTGTGAGAAACTTTTCAGACTTCTGAGCTCCAGAACTGTGGAATAATATACCTTTATCTTGTTTTAAGCCAGATAATTTGTTTGCTAATTTGTTACAGCAGTAACAGGAAACTAATACAATCATTAACACAAACTGACCACTGAAGAAATGTTTGCAAAATGCTATTACTTAGAGGCTGAGATCTTACAATCATAAAATAAATAGAAATGCCTCTGTGAATATTTCTAGTTAAAAGTATTTTTATTATTATTACCTTAATATTTAAGATTAATGTATCATTTTATAATAATAATAGCTAACTTTATTAAATCTTATAATGTAGTAAGTACTAAACACCAATTATCTAGTTCTCCCTATTATCATATGAAATTTTAGGGGTCATTTTACTACCAAGAAAGCAGCAATTCAAGCTTTAAAATTTTGCCCAGGACCATGCAGATAGTGAGCAAGAAATGAGACATATACCTAGGTTTATCTAACACCAAAACCAAGCCTGCTCTATTATCAGAATATTTGTGACCCTTCACATTTTATTCAGTAATGCAGAGCTAGGCATGGTAAGAGATATATTAATACTAATTAAAGGGCATTATAGAATCTAGCCTGGGATAAGCCTAAACGATCATTTAATCCAAATACCAAAAACATGTAAGGATTTTTCAATATTTGAGTAACTATTTTATATAGTCGTTTTTTATTCTTCCAGGTGCTTATGATGACTCATCTCATTATAAATTCAGAAAATTCCCCATTTTTTAAAATCTTTTTGCAACTTAAAAATGCAAAGAATCTTTAGCAATTATCTTGATTATATAGTAAGATAGCAATAAATCACAGTGCATATTGCCTGTCTGGTGCACAAGAAATTAAGTGCCTTGCCCTAACAATTGCTGAGGTTTTCTGTAGTTAAATTTAGAACTGCTTTGGAAATTTAGTCAGTAATAATAATTGCCCTGAGTACCATTCATTAGCAACATGAGTAGAAACATAGATAGGAATTATTACCTGTGGCAACATGACGTCCCCTTCCAAATATGGCGTAAATGATGGCAGGAAACAGAGACCCATATAAACCAAACACTGGGTGCACAGATGAGAGCATAGCAAAGGCCAACCCTGTGAAGAAGACTAGGGTAATTAGGACCATAGTATAACCCCAAGATACAGTCCATTACACAATAGAAAGGGTATTGGTTTATTTGTAGACAAAATGAACCATACTTTAATTATTCGCTCATTATACTTTAATTATATTGCTCATTATAAACTAGTATTATTGTCCTAAATAGGAGAAAATTCATTCATTAGTTCATATTTATATGTTAGTTCCAAAAATCATCATTTTGGGGCTACTACGTTTTCCTTGGATCGTAAAAATTTCTGCAAGAAAAAAGTGGTTAACAGTGTCCTTCTGAAAGTAGGTTTCATAGTATCACAGCAAAATATCTCTAGGCTCACTTAGATTTTAGAAGCATTTTCACATGTATCATTTTATTTGCACAATAGCATCTGTGACAAATTAGAAGGCTGACATGGAATGGAGACTAGAGCTGGGACTTTGTCTTGCAACACATACCCAAAGTTGGCTGGTTGGCTGGCTGGCTGGCCAGCCTAAGATTGGGTACCCCAGTGGCAGGGTGAATGAATAAACCCACGTGCTTTCCACTAACTGGACCCTAACCTATATTTCAAGTGTGGTTTCTAACAGTGGGAAAAAAATCAACTTTGGGCCACTCTGCGAGAGAAGGAAGAGCAAGATGGTCAACTAGAACACTCCAATAATCATCCCCTTACAGGAATGCCAAATTGAACAACTATCCATGTAAGAAAGTACCTTCATAAGAACCAAAAATCAGGTGAGTGATTGTAAGACCTGGTGTTAGCATTATATCAAGGTAAAATATCACTGAAGAAGGTACAAAAGAGAGTCTTTCACTGCCAACACAACCTTTCTCCCATCCCTCGACAATGCCACACCACTGCCAGGTTGAAATAGAATCTGTGTGCTTGGGGGAAGGAAAGTGAAGTGATTGTGGGACTTTGTGTTGGAACTCAGGGCCACAGTGTCATAGGGGAATATAATACACGGCAGAATTTTGCCAGTGCTCACAGAGGGAGCATTTCAATTAGCCCTGGCCAGAGGGAACTCCTCTGCCCCAGCAGTAGAAACCTGAGTCCCAACTAGCTCCACCCCTGGCTGACAAAAAGCAGCCTGGGCCCTGGAATAAACTTGTAAGGCAGTCAGGCCACAAAGGCTGTAGTCCTTGGGCAACTCCTGAGGCTTTGTTGGGCTTGAAGCCAGTGGACATGTGGTGCACGTGACCCTGTGAGACAACTGTGGTACAGCCAAGCAAATGCCTGCATTGATCCTGACCCAGTGCCAGGCAGTGCAGCTCAGGGAGACTCTTCTTCCACTTAGGGAAAGGAAAGAGAAAAGTACAGAGAACTTTGTCTTGCAAGTTGAGTACCAACTCAGCCACAGTAAAATAAAGTACCAAACAGACTCCTGAGTCCCCTGAGTCTAGTCCTTAGCTCCTGGATAGCATTTCTGGACCCACCCTGGGCCAGAAGAAAACATGCTTCCCTGAAGAGAAGGACCTAGTTCCAGCAGGATTCACTACCTGCTGACTATAAAGCCCTTGGACCTTGAATGAACATCAGCGGTAGCCAAGCCGTAGTTACCACAGGACTTGGGCAAGACTGGGTTGGCTTTGGGTGTGACACAGTGCAGTCCCAGCTGGGGTGACCAAGAGGAAGTGCTCATGTCACTCCTCCCCCAAATCTAGCAGCCTAGCATGAAAAGTGAGACTCCTCTTGTTTGAGCAAAAGTGAAGGAAGAGAGTGAGAGACTTTCCTTTATAATCTAAGAAATTCTCTGATGACTTATCCAAGTCCACCAAAGCTGTAGCACCAGGAGCCTGAGTTACAGTGTTACTGGGCTGGGGCACCCCCTAGTGCTGATACAGCTGCAGTGACCAGAGACTCAGATCACAACACTCAATTCCCTTAGAATACCTGGAAAGCCTTCTCAAGAAAGATGGGTCCAAATAAATCATCTTGACTGTGAAGATTAGAATAACTAATTAACTCTTCAATCCTAGACATCAACGAACATCCACAAATACAAGAACATTCAGGAAAACATGACCTCACCAAACAAACTAAATAAGACACCAGTGACCAGTCCCAGAGTAATGGAGACATGTGACTTTTCAGGTAGAGAATTCAAGATAGCTGTGCTGAAGAAGCTCGATGAATTTCAAGACAACACAGAGAAGGAATTAAGAAAGCTATTATAGAAATATAATAAAGAGATTTAAATAATTTAAAAAATCAAGCAGATATTCTGGAGCTGAAAAATTCAATTGACAAACTGAAAAATGCATCTGACTCTCTGAACGGCAGAATTGATCGAGCAAAAGAAAGAATTAGTGAGCTTGAAGACAGTCTATATGAAAACACAGAAGAGAAAAAGACAAAAGAATTAAAAAAGACTGAAGTATGCCTACAAAATCTAGAAAATTGCCTCAAAAAGGTAAATCTAAGAGTTATCAGCCATAAAGAGGAGGTAGACAGAGAACATGGGGTAGAAAGTTTATTCAAAGAAATAATTATGGAGAAGTTCCAGATGGCTGACTAGGATACTCTGGAGAGAAGAGCCAAGATTACAGGTAGAAGATAGTACCTTGAATCAAATATCAAGGAGAGAATACTAGAGTCTAATGAAGAGCTCGTGGGAAACATCTAGGGCAAGGAGAAGGAAGCAAGAGGTGAAAACAGCAGAGACTGGCTGGAGCCTGGAGGCACTCAGTAATCTCAAGGAAAGTATGAATTAGAGAGCTTGGTGGTCCACATCCTTGCTATGCACTGCTGCAATTCTAACCATGGGAGAATTCCTCTATCCAAAAGAACCATGTCACTGGAGAGGGCACTGATTCAGACACCACCAAAGGGCATGGCACAGATCTTGGAACTTGCATTGGGTTGCCTACCCCCACCCCAGACCTGAGCAGTAGTGGCAGTGCCATTGCGAGAACATGCTAGCTCAGGAGTTCACCCTCCCCCAGGAACCAAAGCCCTTGTGTCTCCAGATCCTGGAAGTTCCCACTGACATCTCCTGGTATCTACCTGGAGGACTGCAGCAAAGCAGCACTGACTGGATCCAGGGGTGCTTTGGGGGCCCCCAGTGCTTTACTCTGTAGACAGTGCTACCCCCCAGGGATAACTCAGCAGCATGCCAAAGGGGCGGCCCTGAGGACAAAGGAGGATGGAACTTACACTTTCCAGAGTCTAAGAGCTCTTTGCCTCCAGCTATGAAAAGTGACTCCACCACCAACAGAGACACAAGCTCTGTGCTCTACCACACCAGCAGAGAGTGAAATCCCCTCCCACCAGATAGATTAAAGTCTTAAATGCAAGACCTGAATTCATAAAAATTCTAGAAGAGAATTTAGGAAAAACTCTTCTGGTGATAAATTGATGACAAAGACCAAAAAACCAAAAATAAAAAAATGGAATTTAATTAAACTAAAAAGTTTCTGTACAGCAAAGGCAATAATTGACAGAGTAAATAGATAACCTACAGAACAGGAGAAAATATTCTGAAACTATATATCTGGCAAAGGCCTAATAACCAGAATCTACAAAGAACTGAAAAAAGTTAGCAAGCAAAAAACAACTTTTGCCCACTAAAATGTGGGCAAAAGACATGACTAAATTTTTGTTAATAGAAGAGATACAAATGACCAACAAACATATGCAAAAATGCTCACCACCACTAATCATTAGGAAATGAAAATTAGAACTACAATAAGCTACCACCTTACCCTGTCAGAATGACCATTAGTAAAAGGTCAAAAAACAACAGATGTTGACATAAATGAGGTGAAAAGGGAACACTTATACACTATTTGTAGGAATGTAAATTGGTATAATCTCTGTGGAAAACAGTGTGGAGATTCATCAAATAACTAAACATAGACCTACCATTCAATCTAGCAATCCCACTGCTGGGTATCTGCCCAAAGGAAAATAAATCTTTATTTCAAAACGACACCTATACCTGAATATTTATTGCAGCATACTTCACGATCGCAAAGATATGTAATCAACCTAAGTGTCCATCAACTTATGAGTGGATAAAGAAAATGTATATAAATACCATGGAATATTATCAGCCATAAAAAAGAATGAAATAATGTCATTTGCAGTAACTTAGATGTAACTGGAGACCATTATCCTAAGGGAAGTATCTCAGGAATGAAAAAGCAAATACCACATGTTCTCATTTATAAGTGGGTGCTAAGCAATGGGTATATATGTTTATAAAGTGGTATAGTGGACATTGAAAAATAAGAAAAGGGCATGGTGCAAGGGGAGTGTGGGATAAAAAATTACTTATTGGGTACAATTTTCACTATTCTGGCAAGGGATACACTAAAAGCCTGATTTCACCATTACATGATTCATCCATTTAATAAAAAACACTTGTATCACATACATATATTGAAATTTTTAACAAAATTAATTTAAAAAAAGAAATAATAACAGAGAACTTTCCAAACCTAGAGAAAGATATCGATAGTCAGATATAAACAGGTCTTGAACACCAGGCAGATTTGACCCAAGCAAGACTAACCTCAACCCATTTAATAATCAAGCTCCCAAAGGTCATAGATAATGAAATGGTTCTAAGGTAAACAAGAAAAAATAAAAAGTAACTTATAAAGGATCCCCAATACATCTGGCAGCATACTTCTCAGTGGAAACCTTACAGGCCAGGAAAGAGTAGCATGACATATTCAAAGAGCTGAAGAAAAAAACCCTCAACCTTAGAATATTATATTCTATAAAAATATCCTTCAAACATGAAGGAGAAAGAAAAACTTTCCCAGATAAACAAAAGCTGACAGATTTTGTCAACATCAGACTGGCTGTAGAAGAAATGCTAAATCAGAGTTCTTCAATCTGAAGGAGAAGGACATTAATAAACAATACAAAATCATCTGAAGATATAAAACTCATGGGTAACAGTGAGTACACAAATACAGAATACTCTGTCTCTGTAATTGCAGTGTGTAAATGACACAGAGAAAAATCATTTTTACACAAAGACA